GTTTGTATTTGGAATAGTAACAGGGAGACAAAAGTTTTCTTGTCTCTTATTCAAACATCAGCATGTCTGAAAGACTCTCTAAATCAGGCATGTTTAAAGTCAGGTCTTTGAGATTAAATGCTGAGAGCCGAAATCTATTTAGAAACTCTTTGGTGCACACTTACAGCCCTGTGAGTGTGCAAAAGCTTGCCTGTAGTCTTGGAGGCATATTTCATCTGAACAGTGGCAAGGAGTGCTTGCTACTCACAGCACTGTCACTTGCTAATGCGCATGGAGCTTTGTGGGCAAGGTTTTCTGAATCTTCCAGCGTTGGCCTAACCATCCTCCCATAGCAACTGATGGTACAATTTGTACAGATTCCAGTGAATTAAGGGTTTAAGCCTAGTGCTGTAGAAAATCCTGTATAGAGAAGTATTGTCACAATAGGGAAGCATTGTCACTGTCATATTAGACTGATTCTTAACCATTTCTAAGGGGAGACTGAACCAAGCATGCAGACATCATAGCAATGAGTGGAGAGAGATCTGAAGTCCCTGCTTGATAAATGCACTAGCCAGCACAGTATTATCAAAAGAAAGACCTCTGACAAAAGGTATTCACTATCAAGTAATAGCATAAAATACTGTGGTGGTTGGAGTATGTCATATATTAAGTTTAACAAACTTCTTGAATACGTCCTAACTTTAAACTGCGATGGTGTCACCAGACTTAAACGGTCACATCAAAACAATTTTTGTTTCTTGAATTATGACCTTTGTAAATGGCAGAGCTGGCTAAACCAAGGACAGTGCTATCACCTTCTGTTAGTTTTAACTGCCTTTTCTTTGAGATTTAACAATGAGAGACATTTTATTTATATTAATCATCGCTAGCTGTGGCTGCAAATTGGATTTGGTTTGAATGAAGAATTCGTTAGGTCAACTCAAACTCACTAGTGCTGCAGTCTTAGTCTTATTATTGAGATCACTCCAGGCACTCCATGCACTTACATTGCAAATCACTCTGCTTTTAATACCACACACGTGTTTTGTGAATAAAGCCACAGTATTAATCCATTCCTTGTCTTTTCAAGTAAGTGCTTGTTACAACGTAAGCACCCAGACTGCTACAGTGTGAATCTTGGAGATGCCCATTCCCTTGAAGTCAGTGAGTGAGGTCAAAAGCAAAACTTCCAGGTTCCTCTGCAGTTCTCATTTGGGCAGCACAGGCATCACAAGCCTCCATGGGTACAGGTCAGGCAATGCAGCCCCAGTGGCCGCAGCCCTTATTTTGGCCAGTTCTACCTTCTTCTGCAAATCTGCAGCTCCTGTTTACCTGCCTGTTCACGTCGACATTGTTCTATGTCAAATCCATTATTTTTTTTTTATTTTTTTTCTCTCTTGTTGAATATGGCTGAAACTCGGTGTGTTATGTCTTCAGCATCAGTTGAAAGAAAATTATCACTATCCCTGTGTCATGAAGACATGTCGCCCATTTCTCCTTATTCGAGGGTAGTTTGATTTCTTCCATGTTGCTGAGGTAAAAAAGAGTGAGTAGGTTGTCACCCTGTCCCATCTCCAGCTTTGGGAAAGCTTTCCTGGGACCAGTGGGGAATGGGAAAAGGGTAAGAGGGCTGGGGTGAGCGCTAGGGTGGCAGAGGGGCAGGCTGCCTGCCCTCCTCTCCCCGCAAGCCCTGTCAGGGAGGATGGGCATGAATCAATGCCCTCAAAATCCAAGGCCAAGGAATAAGTAGGTTGGGAACTGCTGATTCCTCCATTCCTTCTGGGATCACACCTGAGTTCAAACAGCTGCGTGGTTTAGTTGACAAAAATACTCTAACATCCCTTGCAGACAAGTCTTGCAAGAGTGAGCTTAATTTTTTTTCCTTCCCCTCTCCCCCTTAATCATATCCTTTGTAATATCTAAACGAATCTGTGTCAGCTTGGTTTCAGTATCTCTGCTGAAGGGAGATTAATGTCAGTGTCTCTGCTAGGGGTTGCCCAGGGCTGCTCATGTCTGGTTCCAGACATCTCCAGCCAGCTCTAGGCCTGGCGGTGGGTTTTTGGAGCAGTCTGGAACCAGCCATGACCAGCCCAGCCCCTCAGCCACAGGTGCAACTGCCAAAACGTATGGAAGAAAAGGCAAAAAATGCTGAAGGAGCAGAGGAGTGAGGAAGGAGGACTGAGGGATGGGAGGGAGAAGAGCAAGGAGGAGCAGGCAGCTCTGAGCAGCATCCCGGGGCTGAAGCAGATCTGCCCTGCTGCCTGCATAGAGCCTGTGCTGGGGCAGATTTCCTGACAGGTACTGCAGCCTCGGGGGAGAGCCCGGAGCAGGGGAAAGGGTGAGTCGGAAGGAGCAGCAGAGAGAAATGGCCATGTTCTGACCACCCTGTGCTGCTCCAGGGGCTGCGTGTTTGGGGGAAGGTGTTGGTTTGTTTGTCTTTGTTTCTCACGACCTGAGTCTGTTTTGACTGGAAAATTAATTTCTGCCCAAGTCAAGTCTGTTATGCCCACCACAGTAATTGATAAGCAATCTCCTTGTCTTTGCCTCAACCTGTGAGATTTCTCATTCTATTTTCTCACTGTCCTGCTGAGGAGAGGGAGTAATGGAGAGGCTGGATGGGAATTTGGCCCTTGGGCAAAGTTAACTCACCACAGCACTGCCAAGGAAGCACCTTTAACTCTAAATAAATATCTCTTTCATTCTTAGGGTCTCTGTTAGGATATGATAAAAACCTGGTTTCACATTTTCTTTAGCAGTAGGAAAAAATAATCTCAAACAAAAACCTGCTGAATCATTACACAAGACCCAGAGGATATAATTCTCTTCTCAGCTGTGTGAGGAAACTCAGAGTAGCTGATCTCAGTCATCTGCCCTGGTCTTTGAAACAAAAACTTCTAACCAGTGGATGCTCTGAAAAATGTGCATAAAAGCTGCCCGGGTCTTCGGGGGAAAAAGGCTTGTTGTTTCTGATATATGTGAAACTCTTCTTCAGAAGTTCTTAAGGATTCTGTAGATGCTGGGACTACAGAGGCAAAATGTGGTCCCTTTACCCAAACAGCTCATGATCATAGGCAGCAGTTCCCATATTTTTCTGGTCAGGAGGCCGTTCTCAGGAACAGGCAGGCCACGTGGAATAGATGTATCTCCCTCAGTGGAATCTCCTTCGGCACCCTTCTAGCATCTGGAAAATTACCCTTGTGTAGCTGATTCATGGTTTAGGTGTTACTGATTCTTTTTTTTTTTTTTTTTTTTTTTTTTTTTTTTTTTTTTTTTCTTTCTGTAAAGAAAAAGAATGCTTCTTCTAGGTAAATACTTTGAAATCAGAAGACACTTCTAAATACAGATTTTTACCTTTTTATAATGCAGTGTTAGACTCAAAGCAAGCACTGGCTTTTGAAAGGCATACTTGCTCGGAGCAATTAATTTTTGTGCTCCTGGATCTGCCATTGAGGCTATGTCCTGGTTAGAGGGCAAGCTCTGCCCTCTTATCTGTGCTGGAGAACAACAGACTGTAATGATAGTGTTACTCTGCACCCACAGGAGGCCTGTAAATAGATCGTGATTCAGGCAGTGATGCATGTCTAAATGCAGGCTCCACGGTCTCTCCCATTTACCCTTTGACTTTTCTTCAGTGTGTCCTTTTGCAACGTCAATTTCAGACAGTCTCTAAGAGCATGCAGGTGGAAGTAGAAGTGGTATATGATCCCAGAGAGAGGTGTGGGTTTTCTGCCAGGCGCTTGTCTGTATAGTCACCTACAAGCCTGCTGTCATACTCTATATTGCTAGCATGGAACCCTTTGAAATTATAAATTTTCAGCTTGCATGCATACAAATCCACCAACAGCCTCTATCCAAGTGTAAATTTCCAGAGAAGGTCCAAAGTTTCTTCATAGTTGATGACAATAATATACTATTTCAAACAATAGAGTTCAAATGGGAGTGTTAAACACTGCTCAACAAACGCCCTTTAAACACAATGCTAATAGAAACATTTTCACTCAGAGACAAAAAAGAGCAGAACTGCTGTAAATTGTGGTCATGTTATAAAAGAATAGCAATAGGACACTTCTGTCTTGAGCTGCTAGAAAATAGTAACTTATTCTGGTCTCAGTCACAGCTCTGTCTCTAATCGCTTTCATCTCATTACCCTTTGCTGAGCAAAAGATAAAGCAATTTCAAATTTCAAAACAGATGCCCTGCTGTCAGACTGGGGCAATGCCTTCTCAAATCTAAAGTGGAACATGTTTTAAGTGGGTCACTCTTTATCTTCAGAGTTTGCTTGCCTTCAGATGTGAAGTCGGGCACCTGTCCTTACCAAAAGAAAGCTTGACTGCATGTAGAGGCGCTTTTGCATCTGTTTGTGGAGGAGAAATCAGAGTGGCATGTCAAAACTTTTTTTTAGGCTTATAGTTATATTTGGAGACCAGTACACCACATTAAATGGTCTCTTTGTGTTCATATTTCAATCCTTTCAACAGTGTTGTAATGGAGTTAAGAATTTCTGTAAAAGTATGCTAAGATGTCTTAAAGCTGGCATGACTGCTGAATGACAACAGCAAATGCAGTCAACTGCCATTACAGTTAGATAATCAAACTTGTAATGGTATTTATTTTTTCCTATTGGGAAGAGGTAATGCATAATGTCAGGTTAGGAACAAACATTATTGTATTTTCAGGGTGGTAGAGAACTGACTATTTTTATTCTGATCATCAATAGTAATTCAGTGTGTTCTTCATTAGAGTATTAGCCTTTCTTCTTTCTGGCTTTGTTTTCATGCAGAAGAGGCATTTCTGGCTTTGAGAAATTTACAAGTCCATATACATAGTGTGTGAAGCATAGTACTCCCATTGCATTGCTTTTGCTGAGGCTTCAACAGAAAAAAGCCCACAGAATACTTTCAAATCCTCCATAAAAGGGCACTGATGTAAAAAAAGTTTTACGATTAGTCTGCCCTTGCCAAAAAATCTTAAAAAAAAAATCTGTTATCTTTAATGAATTTTTTTTTTTTTTCTTTCAGTGAACACTAAAACGTATTGGAGATTGTTCTAAACTGAACCAAACAGAGCCTCAACCTTCAGTATATGTGCTAACAGATCCAGGTATAACTCCAGTTATTTTTGTGAAGCTGTCATTGATTTCAGTGGGTATTTTGTACAGTAATTGAAAGGTATATTGTGACCTGGAAAGAGTGAGTTAGTCTTGCTGTGGCTGGATGTAGATAGTTGCCTGGTCTTAGACTGCCTGTAAAAAGCCCAGTACCACACCTGTCAATCTTATCTCGTCCGAACAGTAACTGAATGTAATTGGTTCAGTTTTGAGTTCAGGTCCCATCAAAACAAAAGGAAAGTAATGCAAATGTCTATTTAACTTCTGTGGCTTGGACAGGAAAAATCTTGACTCTTGTCTTTACTTTGCCTTAAAACAGGAGAAGCATTTTCTTCTTTTTCCGGTTTGTCACATAAAGAGTTAGTTAAGCGAGTGTCCTGGTTTGGGTTGGAATAGAGTTAACATTTCTTCTTAGTAGCTGTAATAGTTCTGTGTTTTGGATTCAGTATGGGATTTTGAATGAGGAGAATGCTGATAATACGCTGATGTTTTCAGTTGTTGCTGAAATCTCAAGGACTCTCCAACTCCCCATGTCCTGCCCATGTGCAGGTGTACAAGAATCTGGGAGGGAGCATGGCCAGAGCACCGGACCCAGATTGGCTAATGGAATATTTCATATCATGTAATGTCTTGCTCAGTATATAAAGGAGGGGTGGCCAGGAAGGAGGGGCTTCTCTCTCACTTCTGGGATTACAATTGCGGGATCTTGGTATTTCGGGATTGCTAGCCAGGAATGGACTGGGTATCAGTTGGCAGGTAGTAAGCAATTGCATTGTGTGTTGCCCGTTTATACTTATTATTATTGTTTTGTTTTATTTCGATTATTAAAATGTTTTTACCTCAACCTATGAGTCTCTCTTTGCTCCCTCTAGTTCTCTCCCCCATTCCCAGGTGCTGGAAGGTGGAGGTGAGCAGCTGTGTGGTGTTTGGCTGCTGACTGGGTTCAAACCACAACAGGGGGACAAACTTGTGAACTTCAAAATCTCTTTTATAGGAGAATGGATCCACAGCTATGTCTTCTAGTTCTTCAGAGAGCCATGCCTCTTCTCTGTCTCTTCCTGGTTTTCTCATAAAGGAAATCTTACTCTGTATCAGGGAGGAGATGCAGTGCAACTAGCAGAAGGTTGCATTTGTAGTTTAAATATTTTTGCAGGCAATTAACTAGATTAGTCAAGATAGAGTGGGATTTTCAACTAACAATGACTTTACTCTTTTCTGTTTGCAGTTTCTGTAATATGAGTTCAATAGTTCTGAGCTTCTGTTTGTGTCTGTATTGACTTTGAGACCCTTAGTTTGTCCAAGCTGGCCATATAATTTTCAGGAATGCTTATGCTGCTAAACTTCAGAATGAGCAATCACAGTAAAAAAGTCCTTGAGCATCAGTAAGAAGCAAGGCAAAAGCTACATGCTTTGTAGACCTCCCTAAAGGAGAAATTGCTTGTCTCTGAGAAAGAGGCAGGCTGGTTTTATGATATGAGACTGAAATACGGTTTTTCATCTTCCCTCTGGAAATGAAGCAACTGGGGAACAGATCACCTCTGCCTGCTCCCTCTTGGGCCAGGCCTTAGACAAGAAATCTCTCCAAGGTCTACTAAGAGATGAATCATTTGTAGACATCAGATTTGTCTTCACCTCTGCCATAAGAATGGCCATTTTATGGCATTCTCCAGCCCCAGCTGCCCTGTTGTGTCCCTTGCAGCTTGGTAGCACTGCTTTGCCTCGAGTACCACAAGGGGAAAATATGTTTCAAAGTACACTCCTGTGCTAACCCTATCCCCCAGGAAATGTAGTGCAAGCCTTTTGTCCTCATGCCCACTCCTTGTTGGCTTTTGGCCTTGGGTGGGTTCATGCAGGCTGGTGCAATACCTTGGTGACTGCCTGAAGTAATATCATGTGTATGTTTCAGCCCAGCTTCTGCATTGGAGGAGGAAAGGATTTTAGCTTGGGGTTGCTTCTCATGCTCAGGTTTAAGCCATGTAATTCTGAGCCAGAGCTGTTGAAATGGAAAAGGGGAGAAAAGAGGACTTTGTATAGTTGCGTATGGTTAACTTTCATGTTTCACTTCAATGAGGAAAAAAAAAAAAAGTCCATGTAGGTTACGTTACCTTCATTTTAAGACATGGAGAATCTTATCCTACTGATTTGGTTGGAAGCATATTCAAATCCAGTATCCCTGGGAAGGTTATAAATTCTTTATATTTCATTTGGGCATAGTACACTGGATCTTGTGAACAGTACTTCCATGGAAATTACCAGACAGTTGGGTAAAATACTTTTGATGGGGTGGGTAAATGATAACGTGTCAAGAGGGTAACATGCAGGAGAATGACTGTTGTGAGAAAGCAAAAAATTTTGCATTTTGAAAATGACAGATCTGACTTCATGTATTCTTTGGTGACTCTGCAGGGCAAGCAAATACAGCCAACAATGGCATCTGCTACAGGACTTACAGTGCAGGTCTTGCAACCAGGAACTGAATTCTTTTATTTTACTATGTGTGGATTAGGTGCCTGGTGCTTTTTAATTTTTTATTAATAAGGTAGAATGTAGGGTGTTGAGAATGCTTTCTTTAGACCAGAATAAAGCAGTTTAGACAATGCCAGAAGTGTATTTCCAAAGCAAAAATGCAGCAGAAGATAGAGATCTGCTAAGTGTAAATTCTTTTTTAATATGCACAGATGGCCCAGCCTCCCAGCAGCAGCAGGATGGGAACAATACTGTGTTTCCTTACAGTGCAAACAATGATGACAGACTTCTTCAGTCTGTAAACCAGGCTGAGGAGCCGCCCTGAAGGGAAACCAATTGCTAACTGGGAGATACAAGGAATGCAGCCAGTGCAATATGAACACTTGCACAAAGCAGGTGTAATTAACAGCTTTCACATTTATGGACCTTGTTAATGAACTGGAATGATGAATTGCAGTTCAACGAATTTCCAGGAACCTATAATGCAGCAATAGCAAGCAAATCTGTAAGACTTCTGATTTGTCTGAGTCATGTACCCTTTGTTTGAGGAAGTTAGACTTTGGCAGTGTGCTATACACTGTCGTCTCTTCATGATGAATATGCTTTGGGCATCGTGCCAGGATGTAATTATTCAATATGATGAAGTAGAATCCTATCTATTTATCGTGTTTATGCTTCAACACTCATCCTTTCATTTTATTTTCCCACATGCCAAATGAAATTTAATATGTTGTTATTTGAATTTAATACTACAGTTCATGGTATTAAATTGTACAAAAACATTTTCAGATGATAAGCTTATTGCCGACTGTGTTTGAAATGCCTTAATGGAAAAGAAAAAAAAAAAGGAGGTCTATTATTGCTAATGGTTCTGTATAGAAAGAAAAACAAAACATGTCTCACACCAGTGAACTAACAGGTGGTTTAATAGGGCCATGATCTGAAACAGGACAGACTATAATACATTGATTAAAAATCAGCAGTTTCAGTTGGTCAATACAGTAGCTTAAGGGCAACATTGTTTGGGTTTGCTTTTAACTAGAATGGGGTTTTACAGTCTTACTTTTTTTTTTTTTTTTTTTTAGAATACAGAAAGTTGCTGACATTTAAAAATGAACCAGCACTGAGCGTGATCTGCATGCACTTTGTGAGAAACTGCATTCTCTAGCTTCAGTACAGCAATTGTTGGTCACAGTTAATCCAAACTCTTTTGTCTGGTTGCAAAATCACTGTTAGTGTGAGTATGCAGTGTCCTTATCTATTGCACACTTTGCAAAGATTTATTTTCGTTTGATGGAGAATACAGCAACATAACTTTCATAGAGAATGAAGGAACTGAGTTTTGTTGAAATACATGGGAATATATCTGTGAGAAAATGAACACCAGTGATTTAATCAAAAGAGTTGATGTTGTGTCTTTTAGTCATTTTCAGCTGTACCTTACTCAGTAAGTGTTTCTGTTGAGATTTCCTATGGAGTCCAGCTTTATTTATGATGCCACAGTCTGACCATTACCTGCTTAGACTTGAGTATTTACAAAAATGTAAGAGTACAGTGAAATTAACATTTCACACCTTGATGCCAGGATAAGGTGTCCTGCACTGTCACTTGCCTTTAGTTCAGTAGTTTGAACAAGGAAACAGATGAGTTCTAGTCATGTAACTGAGGAGAAACATACAGAAAATGGTGCTGTACCATTAGCAGGACAAGATACTGATCTGAGTAGAGAGGTAGACTTAACTGTTCTAGAGAAAGAGGGCACAGCTGTGTAGAGTGGGGTTTTGTTTGAGGCTGGTTGTTTTTGGGGGTGTGGGGGTTTTCCATCCAGAAGTTGAGCTTCATGTTTTTTCCTAGGCATTGTGAGAGGAAGGGAGCCTGTGTATTTTAAGAAAAAAATCTGACTGCAATTTAGAGGCGGGTATAGTAGAGAATATATGCTGCATATGTATGTTTCTTCTCAGTATGGTATGAATTTTTTTCAGCTTGAGCAAGAGTTTCTTTTCATGCTTTCACAACTTACCCTTTTAACTTTGGCGGTTGTCTCCTTGTGTCAGACAGACAGGATAGGAACCAGTCACATAAGCAGGGCTGCAAAGGAGTTGCTTTGTTTTTATCAGCAATGTAACCCCAGTAATGGGTCATGAGAAGGCTTGTACTGCAGTGATGTTGTTGACTACTCTGAATTTTCTACTAAAATAGATAGGGAAGAAAAGCAGCTTACCGTTCTTTAAGAGGTCTGTAGTGAAGAAAAAGAGTGATTGTTTTTAGTATGCTAAAACACATGCAATCACCTGGTTGCTTGTCACTCATCTTTATGAGAGTTGAGTAGCTGTAGCCTAACTGTCGTAATGTGCTTTTCCTTTTCGTCTAAGGGATAATAGCATAGTATCTAGCTCACAGAATTCTTTGGACGAGTTTCTTTAGACTTACAGATGCTGAATTATTAAAACATAAAATGTCATGGAGCTCAGAGATTAAGTGACATGCCTAAAGTCAGTCTTCTGTCAGTGTAGTGGCAGGGGTAAGA